AGTCTTCAGAGTCTTCAGAATCTTTAGAACATGTTCATCTAGAACCTCGTCTTCAGAGTCTTCAGAACTTTTGCATCCAGAACCTTGTCTTCAGAGTCTTCAGAACTTGTTCATCCATAACCTTGTCTTCAAAACTTGTTCATCCAGAACCTTGTCTTCATAATCTTCAGAACTTGATCTTCTAGAACATTGTCTTCAGAATATTTTCACAATATAATCATAGATAGAAGATTTAAACTAACATTCATCAGAACCGTTGATTAGAAGCATTCTTGATGTTTGCTTGATCTTTGTAACACAAAATTGTAACTCTCCAGAGTTTGAGTGTGTTGATTTCAGAAACTGATGATGTCACACATCATACTATAAGAGTCAAAACCTTGACTTAACCCAGAGCCTAGGTTCTCCATAAGTTCATAGCCCATAAATAGCGTTGTCCAGAGTCTATTATCCCCAATTTTTGGCTTATTTAGAGTCTGCACACTTAACACATTGTTAGAGTATAAAATTATTCTCTAAACATACAATGATTTGTTATCATCAAAACTCAAGGGTAGCTGCAGAATTAAACTGATTACAACAGTCGTCAGTTACAATAAGAAATCTAACGTGATAATATTTCTTTTGAAGTTGAGTAATTGGGTTTAGAAGCGCAACAACAATAACAATTCCATGGTTTTTATACTAAAGGTGTAGTCAATTTTGGCCCTGTGTTGGTCATCTTGTTTCATGCATAAGTTTAGTTCCATAAATCCGTTTGAGGTACGTCAATTAAGTTAGAAAGAGGGTTCAAAGATCTTTTAGACTAGAGATTTTCATAATTTTATCATAAGTCTATAATATTTGGTGCTATTTTGAAGTAAGATGAAACATTTTATCTGGTGCAAGTACCAGTTCTTGTTGTTTGATTAAACTGAACTGATTGGGATATTGAGTCCTAAAGTAAAATCATAGTCTTATAAAGGACCCTCTAATAATTCCAAAACATATTTATTTGCTTTATTTAAATGTTGTTTGATATTTTAAGTAATTACTCGAATCCACTGTCCAGTTCATTGAGTTTTTGGGCAATTTTGAGTCGAATGAGATTTTGAGAAATTTTGAGTTTAGTGAGCTTTTGAGTGTTTCATAAATTAAGTTATTTTGATTATATTAGAGTTTTCAATAGAGCTGAGAAATATTATTTCGATTCAGATTTGAAGTTTATTGGTTACTTGGAGTTAATTGGCGTATTTTAGAATTAATTTTGAGTTGTTTGTATACTCTGACAAGTTTTTAGTTGAGTTGTTGATACCCTGTTGGTGAGCTTATAATGTGTTTTCTCTTTTGATGAGTTTTTGTAAATAATATATGAATATGTGGTTGATATGAACTTGTAAAAAATTATAATTGAGTGGCTCAAAAAGGAGCTATATTTTTTTGAGTTGAGTAATTCAGAGACGAATTACCTTTGGCCTTACATTGGCAAAGTTGTTGGCTCGGAGAGGGACATACTTTTGAGTTTGGGATATATTGTGTTTTGCTGTTATGAGTTGTGAATAATAATTGTCGATGATTTTGAGTGAGAATGTTGTTTCCATGTTCATGCATTCATGTATATTGGAGAAAGGTAAATGAGGTCAAATGGTCAGAAAGAACCAATGACAATCTTATAGTTTAGAGAGAACCTTTATCAGAGAGGAATTAGTGGTGTGGATAATTCTATAACATAACTTGGACATCCAAACACTTGGTATTGCATGCATTTTTAGAGGAGGATTGCATTTGCATTTCATGTTGCATTTTGTAATCGTTTACAAGTGTGAATTAATTGTGTAATTGATATGAATGTTATTACAACTATTTGTACTTCTCTATTCACCGATAACATCTGTGGAATTATTCTCTCCTCTTTTGTTGTTATGTGGCTTGTTATGTAGGTGTTACATATACTCAAGTAGAGGAGTAGTAGTTGTTATGTTGAGGAATGACGCATATTGCCTTCTTCTTTATTTATGTTTATCATTTTGAGTTTTAGTTTCCATGGTATCACTTTGATATTGTAACATCGGGACAATTTTTTCCATTGGTTTATATTTATAAGAATTTTCTTGTTAATTTTCCTTTGTTGAGATTAAGTTTCTTGCTTTGATGAGTTATGAGATGTTTTAAGTTGAGATGATATGTTCTGAATTTCTATTGTTTTGTTTTGATTTGAGAAGTATGTTGTTATGAGAAAGGTGTGACACCTTGTCTCTGAATTAAAATGATTTTACATGATTACACTTAAAAAAAATGAGTTTTGGGGTTTACGGTGTTACAAGGCGCCTGGTCATAAGTTCGAATCCTAATACCTATATTTTTTTTATTTTTTTCATTTTAAGCCACGTTTCACAACTGTTGAAACTTTCAACCGTTGTTAAAAGTGGCACAAGGTTTTGAGTTCGAATCCTAGAACCTAAAGTTTTGTTTATTTAAATTATAAGCCATTTTTCACAACGGTTAGAAGTCCAACCGTGATGAAAAGTCACCCATTTTTATTTTTCCAATATATATAACGCTCTTTATTCATTCTTTTTACGCTAGACAAAGTTAGACAAACTTAGACGAACTTCATCTTTTACCTCTAAATGTCATCTTCCATTTACGAGACTCTTGTTGTTGTTGTTGTTCTTCTTCTTCTTATTCTTGTTGTTATTGTTCTTGTTCTTGTTGTTCTACTACTACATTATTTTTATTTTATTAAAAGACATACGACAACAGTTGTTTAATACATTTGTGGTTGTATGTAGCGCACTATCCAGTTTACTACCACAAGAAATAGATCGTGATTGTAAATAACCCACTTACAACCACACGTTATGTAAGAACGAACCATCAACCATGATTATAGGTCTTTCACAACTGTTGTTAAATGTGTTTTCGTAGTAATGTCTGGTGCGCTCTCTTTGTACTCTTCTCTCTTTTATTTCAGTTAATTATTTTATTTTCGTTGCATTTCTCTCAATATCTAATTCATACTAATATCTTGTTCGTAACCGTTAACATAAATATTTTAAAAAGTAAGAAGATTTTATAAATTAATTACAAATTTTGCATATCACAATTTAACCTCTTTTGTGTTCGGAGTTACTTGGTCAATAAGTGACATCAAAGTCTAACTTTTATTTTAAGGGTAATAGTCACAAGAGTAACAATGACTTCAAATGATTCAATAAAGACTAATGGTGTTTAATGTTTGAGGTATAAGATGAAGTTTTAGAAATCGCCACTTGAGGAATTTGGTTCAAAATCGATGTCCTCTCCACCAAGGGAATCTGAGATGGAGGATCTTTGTCAGCATTTAACTGGACATCAACTTCCTTAGGAGATGCAATATTGGTTTTGGGGATGTGGATGGTTGTTTGTTGTTTTTTGGGATCTGGTACTTAGGAATGCTATTCAGCAGTGAGAACAGAAATATGGTAGAATTTCATACTCAATATCGGTAAAGAAGGCAAAGCCCTCTCTCTCAACAAGAACATCATAAAGATCCATATCAAGAAGCACCCGAACATACTATCCAAACATTCTATCGACTCTAGATTTGGAAGAAGCTACATCAATTTAAATCGGAGTAACAATATTACTCCCTATCGCAAATAAGATTTCGGGTCTCCAATATTTTTGTGATAGTAAAAAAAATCTAACCCAAACCTGTGCAAATGTGTTTTGTTGATAAGATGGATTAAAATCCTTAGACTAGGCAAAAAGCTTCAGAGTACCTGGGCTTAAGTTTAGAGATCTTTGTGCCCTTACTCTTCTCAAATCCTCAACACAAGAGAAGGTGAATTCATAATTTTTTTTACCAAGAGATAGAACACTCGAACTTTTTAGATTCGACCATAACCCTGAATTTTTTGTGTGAAGTGCGAATACCGCAAGAGGAGTAGAGCCTTTAGGTTAAATGGATCCTTCCATGTAGGTTGCTCTTGAAATCTCTAAGACCAATTTTATATTCATCTACAAGAGTGGTAATGGAGAGTTTGTGTCCTTTGATAATGGCTTGAGGGAGTTAAGAGTAAGGGATGTCACAAACCCCATTTAGGACTTGTTTGAATGATTAAATTTGGTGGTGGTGGCGGTGGGATTGATTTTGTTGAGGACGACAAGGCATTGGGCTTGGACGTTTGATTGGGAGTGAGTTCAGGAAATAACTAAAAGTGATTCATGAAAGAGCTGAGTTTACGTGAAAAACCTGAGCAACATGATGTGCAAATTAGGGTTTTGGATGGTAAAGTTAAAAACCAATGTAAGAAAGTTACTCATGCGGGAAAATCATAATGACCCCGAGAAAACGATTCAAGCCCCGCCACCAAATATTTGTATTGTGTATTATGTTTAAATTGATTTAGAATTCTTGGGAAGAGAGCTACCTAGACACTTTGTAACACAATATTTTGTTAATTAACAAGTTTTTTATTGGTAAAAAATTCAATAGGCTTAATAAAAGGAGAAAACTTAAATAAAATTCTATAGGTGTGGATCTTACTATTTTCTAACGAAAATATAAAAATGTATAATTTCTTCTTACACATATGTTATTTTCTTCTATTTCCACTCTTTAAAAAATATTTAAACACATTTATTATATTTTTATTAAAAAATAGTAAGAATTATACCGAAGTTTTCTCCTTAATAAAATTGTGTGGGAGTAAAACCTATATAAATTAGTGTGTTGAAAAATATGGTATAAATTGTTTTGTTGGTACTTTTATTTTTGCAATACAATTTATAACCCTTAAATGAAGCCAAGAAAAGAAAGGAAAAAAAGTAGAGAGAATATGAAAAAACAAAACTGAATATATTTAGCAAGACCTAAAATTTTATACAAATTGGGCAAATATTATAAAACTATGCTATATATAATACTCACACTTGCCATTATTTAGGCAAAACTAAATTATAATTTAAAAACAAATTTGTCCTTCCTTTTGTGATCTACAAGGATGAAAATCAGGCATAAGATCTGAACATTGCTTCTAATTACTTGTACAGCTGCACTTTGCCTTAGTGTCTGATAATATCTGCATTATGAAAAATAAAAATACATATAAGACAATTTAGAATTTTTTGAGGTAATATATTTTGTTTATCATGATATACATTTAACATCTTCAAATAAAGTTATATTTTTGCAATAATTGAAAAAACATAAAAATGTTTAGTATTTGTCTTGTTATACCTTAAGTTGTTTCCTGAGGTCTTTAATGTAGTCAACTGCTACATCCAACATATCAGCTGTACTTGTTTGCTGCCAACACAGAATTACAACAAATAACTCATCAAATTGCATACCATGAAACTTCACTTTTAGTTCAATCGTTTGCGTGTAAGACTGACTATCACATAATAATTACGATTAAATTTTAATTAAAATAAGATTTTTAATTATTTTTTTTATGGTAGAATCTTGATTAATTTATGCAGAACTTTCAAAAACTTAAGATTACACGCTATATTACCTTATCTGAATTTGGGAAAAGTTCTTGCAATTTCTTGATTCTTGCACTAATTCTTATTCTTCTTTCCTGCAATATGCATACCAATATATAAAAAATGAAGCAGCTCATTAAAATGCAACAAATGTGTTTATATGACTTGAGATTGTTAACAAGGTTAGAATTTTACCCTCTCTGCAATGCTTCTTGGGTGGGTGGCAAAGCCTCTTTTGGCGCGAATTTTACATGGAACAGATCCTTGAATGTGAAAATACTTGTCCATACTAGTCATCTTTGTAGAAGAGCTTGGAAGACTCAATTGGTGCCTCAAACCATGTTTTTGGTATCCAAAGTCTAAATCCTATTAACATAAACTTTCAGTTATCAACAATGAAATACACTTGAACACGAACGACACTGACACATAGACACTAAATTTATACAATAGAAGTAATTACATGTAATCAATCACATATGTTATTGTTTGTGTACCTGAGTTTCCAAAGTATTTGAAGTGGAAAAGAAGATTTGACCATTATTAATGGACGTTTTAGGGGCAGTGAATGTAGAAGTAGCCCAATAGTCATTGATGAAGTTAGGCATGTAAGATTTAGTGCTAGCATTATCATTTCCAATGTTTTTAGTTCCAATACCGTTATGAAGTGAATAATTGGAGAAAAACTCAGCAGGTGAACTGTTGTGCCTAATGAGATTGGAGCAATTCATAGAAGAAGCTATTTTAGTTTCTGTGTCATAATTCTCTGAATCCAAGGAACTCACAGCACTAAATGAAGCCTCAAAATCATTAAGCAATGCATGATTCTGGTGAGTTTGGTAAATCATCTGACTTGGAGATTCATTAGAGTAACCATTGTATTGTATTCCTTGTGAAAAAGGGTCATTCTCTTCTTGTTTCACTAACAAATGTTGAGAATTTGTAAACATTGTTTCCATGTCTGAACTTGTGGAGGGAGAATAATGTTTGTGATGTTGATCATTATCATTTCTGAAAGTTTCTTCATTCATAAAACCATTTCTTGTGTCTATAAGGCTTGAAAGCAATGAGTTTTGGTGACAATATTGTTGTGTTTGTGAGTATCCAATATTTGAATCAATTTCATTGTTCTTCCTTGATTCAACTTGAGAGTAGTTGAGAGCATGAGTATACACAATACTCATCTTATATCTTCACAAAGAAAAAAAAAAAAGTTATGTTCATGTTACTTTTGAAACCAAGTAGCTAAGTTTATTTATACCATAGAAAATTGATACATGAAAATTTGAAGTAAAAAAAGGACATACATGAAACTCAAAGATTGCAAAATCAAAGTCCAAGAAGTGCGTTGATGAGAGCTCAAAATGTAGAGAAAAAATGAGAAAGAAAGTTGAGTTTTTTGTGGTGCTGTTGAGATGTATTTATATAGAATCATGTTCAATTATTACCCTTATGATTCATCATTATTAACGATAATGCCCCTTGTGTTCTTTTTGCTTATTCAACTGTGAAAATGTTTATTATTTTATTGACTGGGATAACCGTGTCCGTGTGCACGTGTAAGAGACTAAACTTTTTAGCACTGTTTAATCCAAATAGACGGTTGTGTACACGTGTAAGGATACTTTACTTTGAATTAACAGCTCAAATATGTTTACTGTTTACACTAACCATACATACTAAATTACTAATTGAAAAGTAATCTCATTTTCGTAGTCAATAAATAAGACCAAAAGTACAACTCGGACTTAGAAGAAAACAAATCCGAGGTGGCAACTGATTTTATGCATGTATTATATATATTTTCTTATGAAAGGATGCTTGTATACTTTTCAACTTTGTTCAAATGTGAACAAAGAAAACAAGACCTGTTCCTTTCATCCTACTATACTAGCACATAGAAAAGAAAAGAAAGTATAATATGATATTTTGAAATTACATAAATGTATTTGTTAGAAGCTTTCCTTTCCTTTCCTTTGGTTTGGTAAAATATTGTTTCCACACGCATTAAATAATAAAGTGGCTATTTATCTTATGCATGCACAAGAATGAAGAAAGTCTTTGATGTCTGCATAACATTATCTTAGAGGAGTATATTAAAAAGCATTGATATATAGTATAGAAGTAAGAATTTTTGTGAGGGACATATTATTTGTTCACATAAAATTTTAAGGTGATAGGTGAATGAGTTTTCAGTTATAAATGCTTAAGTCACAATTTTCTTATCTAATGTGAGACTATTTCTCCACTTACTCACATTTACATTAATATTCTAACACTCCCCTCAAGTGTGAGTCCATAATGCTCCCCCTCTTATACTTGTACCGCTGTTGTAACGAAACACCTCTTCTTGGACGCTCTTCGATACAAGCAAAATGATACCTTTCTCGAACTAAAGGCTTCATGATACCATTTGTTAGAGGAGTATACTAGAGAACATTGATACATAGTGTATGAGTAGGAATCTTTGTGAGAGACGCACTATTTGTCCACCTAAAACCTTAAGGTGGTAGGTGAGTGAATTTTCTCATTTATAAATACTTAGGTCACAACTTTCTTATCTAATATGAGACAATTTCCATATTTACTCACACTTACATTAATATTCTAACCGATTCAAATTCAGTTAAGACAATCAAAATGAGAAAAGAGTTCTCTCCAATATGATTTTCACTAGAGAAAGCACTCAACGTCTTTGTTATTAAAATTTTCTTTTTCTTTAAATTTGACAATTTTAAGTGACTAGAATTTCACTAAATTTACATTTTATGGAAGATAATTTATTTTCATCAGATTGAAACATTGGTTAGAGAAAAAAGACAAGACAAAAAATATTCTCAATCATAGTCAATGAGTCTTCAAACCAATAGTAGGAAGGCTCAAATATTATTGTTTTGATGTTCTTATTTTAACTCAATCACATGATAAGTTACTTATTTTAAATTCAATGAGCTCTTGATCTCTCTTACATATTTGTGTACTTCAAATTAATAAAAAGTTTATTTTTAATTATGTATTATTTATTTAGTTTCTTTTAAAACTTGATATCAAACCTTGAGACTCAGTAATATAAAGGAATCAATTATACTATCCGATAGTAGTGGTTCATTTAAAATAAGAACAAACCATTGTATGACCGATTAATATAAGAATTATTAGCAGTGTAAAATTCAAATGTAAGAATTATTAGCACATAGTAAAATTCAAATGAAATCTTAAAAGAAACACACTTTTAACTCTAAGGACTCAAGTTTTTTTATAATATATCATATTTGAATTTTGGTATGGGCTAACAATTTTTATATTAGTTGATCATTTTTTTCATTTTAAATGTTTAATACATTAAATTATTTTTTAAAATGCTTTATTAAAACATAGTAATTTAAAAATAATTATTTAAATACTTAAAAATTTGTTTAAATATTTTAAAACATGTTATTTAACATTTATTTAAATATTTTTAAATTATTTAAAATATATTTTAAAATATTCAAACACATTTTAAAAATAGTTACTCGATTATTATTATGTAAATATATAAGGAATTAATAGTATTACATGTTTACATAATGTATTTAACTAATTAAGATAGGATAATTGGTAAGAGAGTTTCGGTAAGAATGTTGAACATAAAGTTGTAGGTTCAACTTTTATTGTGCTATTTTTTATATTTTATTGTTATTTTGTGTTTTTTTATTTAAGGATAAAAAAGTTATTTTTAGATTATTTTATTATTATTTTTCATTTTTTATTTTAAGATTATTTTAAATTTAATTTTTACTTTTTAAATATTTGATTTTTATGCAATTAATAGTTAAATTTAGAATAAATAAATAAAATCTTTTCAAATCAATCTCAATATTTGGAATAGTCATAAATAAGGCTAGATTGATAATCTTGTTCACAAAGTTATAGACTAAATTTCAATCAATTTTCAATCTTCAAAATCATGCCAAAAATATATCAATTTCACTTGATTTTTGACCTAATTCTCAATTATAAATATCCCACTATTTTTATAGTTTGAGATATCAACAATCATTCAATTACCAGCAACTTTTCATATAAACAAAACAAATAAATGAATTAATTAATTAATTAAAAAATAAATAAATAAATTAGTTAAAACGAAGGGGAGGGTGTATACTTAATTTGGTGTAATTACTAGGTGTGTATATAGTAAGAGGCCTGGCTCATAATTTAACTCTAATTAAGAAATCCTAATTAATTTACACAATAATATAAATATAAAATAGAAATAAACAAACACGACAATGAGAAACCGACACAAGGTGGATAATTATTTAAAATAAAATAGAAATAAAGCCTAATATAATAATGAGTTAACAATAGACAATTATCTCTTACTAGTTCTCAACCTATCACCATCTATATTTTAAAACCAATTTACTACTTCGGCTCTTTAACGCCTAGCATTCATCAACCATGGTTCTCATGAAAAATCAAAATCAGAAAACTCAACAGCAACAATCAAAATCCAATTTAAAACACTGCAATATATTAATCATACATAAACTTAGATTATGCCACAAAAAAATATACCGAAAGAAAAAATGGAAATACTCTCGATGACACTTTTATATGACGACGGAGGGCGTAACAAGTGTGTGGCGGCTGAATCCGTTGTTGTTGTGGAAGTTGTCGCCCGTTCGGAAGGTTGAAGGCTAATAAGAATCGTTAACTAGTTGTTGATCATTGTCTCTTAAAGACAACAACAATCAACAAAGTTTGTAAGAGAGAGATTTATAATAAATAAATATTGGAGTTGTATTAAAAATATTTAACATATTTTTTAATATGAAAATAGTTATTTATTATTATTTTCTAAAACACTAACCATTCTCTCTACTTTATCAAACTTTTTATCATTCGAATCTTTTATGTATCATACATCTAAGACAGCTAATCCATCAAATACTGACACTTTTTCTACTAACTTAATTTCAGATTCAACTCCTATTTTAAAAAAAGGTTTGTGGATCTATTTTTCATTAACTGCGAGCTACGTCTATGACTACGCTGCTTTTCAAACTCAGACTTTGTTCAAGGATTAATTTCAAATATTTCCACAATCCATGAAAAAACCTAACCAAACACCTACGAACTACGAATTGAGATTTTAATTCCTCATAAGAGGATACATAGGTGTCATACCCCAAATTTGTCCGTCCCATTTTTAAAAATATTCAAATTATATTTAAACTTGGCTTCATAATTTTTTTGGACATTACCCACATTTGGTTTAACAATAACTTATTTTTGCTTATTTAAAATATATAATAATTTACTTTATATTATTTTTATTCTTAAAATAGCAAAATATTTTCCCAATTTCATATGCATCTATGAGCCTTTTTGTCTTGATTTGAATGACATGGCACAATTGGTAAGAGAATAAGACTTGTAAGTGATAGGTCTTGAGTTCAAGTCACATTACACTACTTTTTTGATATTTATATTCTTTTGTGTATTTTTTAATAAAAAAGATTAAAAAAAAAGTCATTTTTCAATTATTTTATTATTATTTTTGTTTTCTATTTTAAGGGTATTTTAAAATTACTTTTTTAAATATTTGATTTTATACACTTAATAGTCAAGATGTTAAAAATAATTGAAATCTTTTAAAATCAAATTTTATTAATCACCAAATCAATCACAATATTGAGAAAAAATCACAAAAGTGTCTAGGTTTATAATTTTGTTTCAATTGGTATAAATCTTTTCAAAAAATCACTTTTTTTATTATTAAATTATTATTTTTCGTATTTTTTAATTGATAAATTTTTAAAAATAGTTTTTTTTCCACTTTTTTCAAATTTTAATTAAAAACTAACCAAAAATCATATAAATTATAAAAACAACAAAATCATATGATTTGACACTTTCTGATTGGTCACATGTTGACAAAACTGATTTCTCATTAGTCTGAGTTTGTAGACTTCCTGGTCAAGATAAAATCATAAACTTTAGGCTTTTCTTGGTGTGAACTATTTCCTTTTTGGGGTGTCTTTAACCTAATTTAAAATCTATAAATAAGACTCTCTTCATCTTAAATTTTTCATCAGCAATCATTTAGAGCATCAATAATCATTTACAGATCAACAACTCATTAGAGTTCTCCTAAAAGTTGTTGCTCTTTACATCAAAGAACAACAACAACTAA